AATTGAAAGTCATTCTGTCTTCTCTTCGAGCAGATCCCCGTCAACATCAACAAAACCACTTTCGATCAGTTTTCATGCTGTTTGTTTTGGCTTGACCATGCTTGGCATGCACAGTTGTACACACCAACTGCTCATTTGTTAATAACTTTTCACTCAGTTGATGAAATTTAGTGTTCTTTTAAGTAATTGATAGATTAGGATCATAGTTTACTGTAAAAATACAAAGAACATGTAAATCTTATCATTTAAAACAACACCAATGAATTTTTAAACTTAAATTCCGAGATGTGCAGCGAGCATTTCTCACTTCATTTTTGGGACGCAAAATCGAATACAGTTTATTACTAGGATTATCTATAAGAAGCTCTATTCTATCGACTGCTTCAAACAGAACTATGTTTCGTCAACTCTGTGCAAAGTTATTAGCAAATGAGCAGTTTTGGGGCCTCATAGCCTAGTCAGTACACGGTATTACCAAGCCGGAGGTGGCGGGTTCGATTCCCGGTCCGGTCGAGGGGGGAAATTTTCTCGACTTCCCTGGGCATTAAGTATCATTATGCTTGCCTCACAATTTACAAATTCATGTATTGGCATCGAAAGCCCCCAATTAATAACTGTGGAAGTGCATTTAGAACACTAACTTGAGAGCACCCAATAAGCTGATATGCGAAAAAGAAGAAGAAGAAATGAGCAATTTGTGAGCAAAACTGTGTATGCCAAGCATGGGCTTGACTCGTGTTCATTTCTTCTTTCAATGTCAAATGAACTTACTATTCGCGCAGTTTTTATGACGTTTGATGATTGTTCACTCGGTTCATTTAAGCGTATGCGCATAGATCTGTTCACGTGGATGTCAAATTTATCACTGTCGGGTGGTTTGTTTACCCATCAATGTAATTATTTTTTGAATCAGGGTGACGTCTAGAGATCGAAAATTGATATGTGACGCCATTTTTAAATCCAAGATGGTAGCTTCCAGTTTAAGGAAAAGTAGGAAATGCGATCAAATACACACTTAGAAATACCTAATCTTACACGTGTCGGAACCCATCTTTGACATAAAGGATGAGACGTAAACAAATATGTAATGTAAAATTAAGTTCTCTGAGACTGAAAAGTTCGAAAGTACGTTTGATTGGGCTGAATTTCTCGTCTATTAGTACTGAATTTTATGTCAAAATTGACGCTCGCATATGTCAGTCTAAGAACACCTAAATTTACATCAATTTTTCTAAGTGTGTACTCATCAATAAAGGTATTTTTGGAATCGAGATGGTGTCTATGCGACGCCATCTTGAAATCCATGATGGCGGCTTCCGATTTCAGATTAAGTTATAAATACTGTCAAATACCCATCAATATAGGATTTTTTGAATGGGATGGCGTCTAGAGGCCGGAAATCGATACCCGAAGCCATTTTGAAATCCATATGGCTATGGGTATTTTTGGAATCGGGGTGACGTCTGGATATTGGCAATCAATATCCGACGCCATTTTGAAATCCATGATGGCGGCTTCAGGTTTGAGAAAAAGTTGTAAATTCTATCAAATACCCATACAATCAGCGTAACGTCTAGAAGCCGGAAATCGATATCCGACGCCATTTTGTAATCCAAGACGGCGGCTTCCGATTTGCGGAAAAGTGTCAAATATCCTAAAATATGCTTATTTTCAGAATGGGGATGAGACGTAGATACCGAAGATTGATGTCACGCCGTCTTTAAATCCAAGCTTGTGGCTTTGGTTCAGAAAAAATGTGAAATACTGTCAAATACCGATCAATGTGGGTTTTTTTTAAATCGTGCTGACAAGCCAGAAATCGATGTCCGACGCCATCTTGAAATTCAAGATGTAGGCTTCCGATTTCAGAAGAGTTGTCAAATAACCTACAAATGGCATGGAATATCGATTTTCAGCATCTACGCGTCGTCTTCGTTCCGAAAATACCCAGAATCTTAGGGTATTTGACACTTTTTGTGAAACCCGATGGCCGCCATATTGGATTCGAAAATGGCATCGAATATCGGTTTTCGGCATCCACACGTTGTCTCCATTCCGAAAATACCCATATTGTAGGGTATTTGACACTTTCTGAACCCTGATGGCCGCCATATTGGATTCCAACATAGCGTCGGATATCGATTTTCGGCATCCACATGTTGTCTCCATTCCGAAAATAACCATATTGTAGGGTATTTGACACTTTTTGTGAAACCCGATGGCCGCCATATTGGAGTCCAACATAGCATCGGGTATCGATTTTCCGCAGTCACGCGTTGTCTCCGTTCCGAAAAATACCCATATCTTAGGGTATTTGACACGTTTTATGACACTTGATGGCCACCATCTTGGATTCCAAAATGGCGTCCCCGTTCCGAAAATACCCTATTGTAGGATAGTTGACACTTTCTGAATCCTGATGGCCGCCATATTAGATTCCAACATAGCGTCGGATATCGATTTTTGGCATCTACGCGTTGTTCCCGTTCCGAAAATACCCATATTTTACGGTATTTGACACTTCATAAAACCAATGGCCACTATCTCGAATCCCAAAATGGCGTCGGATTTCGATTTTCAGCATCTACGCGGCATCCCCGTTCCGAAAATACCCTATTGTAGGGTATTTGACACCCGATGGCCGCCATTTTGGATTCCAAAATAACGTCTAATATCGATTTTTGGCACCTTCTTGTCGTTCCCGTTCCGAAAATACCCGTATTGTAGGGTATTTGAGACTTTCTCTGACCCCGATGGCTGCCATCTTGGACTCCAGAATGGCCTCGTTAATTTGATTTTCGTTTAATATAAAATAATATATTGTTACTACACATAATCCGGATGTCATCCCTATCGGCAACTGATATTGTGCGGATACTATCCGGATACTATATTTTGATGCCTGCGTAGTCAGGTCGTGACAAGTCGAATGAGCCCCGAATTGAAGAGAAAGTGGAAAAAACGAAGGAAGCAGTTTTCGAGTCATTCCTTGCGTCAATTGAAATAAGTCTTTGATTCAAATGAAATGAACAAGTGATAGTCCAGTCCTGTTTGAAAAGAGGAATGTTCATCGTGACTCGATAACAAGAAACACGATGACTTACACGAAAATGATATTGCTCGAAATTAAGCGATTCTGCGGAGAGATCATTTTCTTTTCTTTTTTTCGAAAGCGCAGAACCCTGCTTCTAACAATGAATGGTCTAACAGATGTTGCTTTTAAACCGACATCTTTCGTTGGCGATACTGCGTCAGTCGGTCAATTTTGATTGGGTTCAAATTTGACGCTAACGCTGATGTTGACGCAACATTGTGGGAGCACCTTTAGACCCAAGAGAAGAGGAGACAATACGGGGGTGAAAACCAAACACTTTTCTGTCAAACGCGAACCAGCTCGTGATTGGCTGATTTGTAGTGCGTAAGATAGAGATAGAGATTGATATAGATAGAGAAAGAGATATAGATAAAAGAGTAAGAAGCCAGTTGTTTCCTCTTCCTCTTAGCTTTAGACCAGTAAATTTCCCGGGAATGGCTTCCCGGTATGAAACATTAATTTTTATATACACTAGATATACGAATTAGTGTTTCCAACCCAGGACATTCCAGGAACTCTCTACATTTCGATATTCTATAACCCGATATTTTCTATAACTCGATGGATTCGGCGGTCCCTTCATTTTTCCATGTAACGTACTCTCCATAAGTCGACATTTCTACAAGTCGATGCTTCCATTGGTCGATGATCTATGATATTGTAGTATTATTCGATTGATGAGCAACAGTGGCTCACAGCACAGAAAATGTTCATGCAATGACATCTAACATTCACGTATTCTCTTTATTAAGCCTCTTCACGATTCGAAATCTCATACACATGAAACAGCAAAGTCAAAATACCAGAAAATATTGATTTTAGTATTGCACCGTTTATGTATCTTTAAAATCAAAGCCTCCTACAACACAACCATAAAATGGGTAGCCGGCAAACGTCAAACCGGGGGGTGATTGGTTAGAATTATGGCGTGTGTAAAATGCTGGATATGTGTAGCCGTTGACCCATCATACTTCCTCAGGGTGAAATCAAACAGAATTTTCGATTGGTCAGCTTAATGAGACCTTGGAGAACCTTCTCTCATGAGTGCAAAACGAGTAGATCTGTGATAGCGGTGGGAGCACTCACACCCTCAACAGCTCGCGCTGGAATATTCAGTAATTAAGGTTAATGGTAGCTTTTATCTAATTGAAAGCAGCAACATCCTTCTGCATGTCTGGATCCTAAATCAGCCCCAAATGGGAATTAGCATTCGCAGTGTTCTTCTAATGACTTGGGTCTGAATTCACTATTCACCCTTGTCAGGGAATTGTCGTCGTCTGCTTTCAATTCGATATAAACTCCCGGCATCAAAAAATAAACCCCTATTACGATTGCTAATCGAATTGAAATTAAATTTTCAATCAAACATACGGCAATCGATTCCCGGATCGACCCACTAAGGCATTCGCAATTAAAACCGTTGAAACAGCCATTTACGAAATTGAATTTCTAAATATTAATAACGTACAAGCAAATGGTACCGGTGCTGGAAAGAGCTTCATTCGCTCTATTAAATTTCTACCCAGCTTTCTATCTGCTGATCCAATCCGACGAAACAAAACCACATTGTTGCCAGCGGGGAATCTGATCTAATTCCAAACAAATTTCACGCCATTCTCAGCTCGTCTACCCCTCAGGTTCCCCTTTCCTCCCCCCAGCTACCAACCACCCGACACGAAACGATACGACGTACATGGTGTCTACATTCCATTACTAATCGCACCGAACTTTCTGCACACATTTTCTCGTTTCATTCTATCTGCTCGTTCGAACTATGGGTGGCCACCCATCGTTAACCCCTGCTGGAATCGAACCACCCCCAACCGACAACGCCGGCTGCCTGTGCTATCTCCTGCCCGGTTAATCTGCCATCGACATCGACATCGACAAACCGCGTGGCATTTAGACCCCTGCTGAAGCAGATCAAAAACTCGGCCGAGTCGCACATCGTGCTGGACTGTACCACGGATAAAATCTACGAAGTGCTGAAACAGGCCCAGCAGATCGGCATGATGAGTGACTACCACAGCTATCTGATAACGTCGCTGGTAGGTTTTTGGTTTCCTATATGTTGTGCCTTATATACTATATATTTCCGAACTCGAAACAAAAAGTTATCCATTTTAATCACCCTCCCCCCCGCGCAGGACCTGCACACCATCAACCTGGACGAGTTCAAGTACGGCGGAACGAACATCACCGCCTTCCGGTTGGTTGATCCGGAAAATCCGGAAGTGTCACAGGCGATCCGCAACTGGACCCTCGGCGAGGCGCGGCTCGGGAAGAAGGTCGATTTCAAAACAACGGTAAGTGCTGGACCTTTTTTCGTTTCAGGAATCTTTTGATTTACTTCCGATTTCTTTCCAAACACGGTTCGCACACACACAGTTCGGGATCGATTTCCGTCGTTGTTGGCTTTTTTTTTTTATTTCTTCTGCCTGGTGCGCTGTTGACAGCGCTTTGATTTTCTTCCGGTTTGTTGTTTGCGAGCCTCTCTCTGATAGGTAGGTTTCGAGAAAAAGGTGTGCTTTTGTGAGCTGAGCTCAATGAAGCGGAAATACTTGATTGAGTTTAGCTGGCGATTGGCTCGCTCGAATTGCCTTTATCAGTTGAATCGAACTGAGTTTTGGGAGCGTGGATGGTTAAAAAAAAACTTATCTCATTTAAGGACGGAAATCTTTTCACTTCTTCGCATTTTCTCGATGTAGCTGAAAATGCCAGTTGAATTCTGATGATTGTATGTTGCTTGGCAAGTAATAAGTTTTGCGTATATTGTAGAGTGGGTCATTAGAGTGATGCAAATTTTGAAATTTTTGCTCCACAATACTTAAACGATTCTAAATCGGATCCTGACTAACCTCTCAAAATTTGAACCCATTTGGTGAGAAACTGAGATGGCACAAACCATTTCAACTTTGTATGGGAATTACTATGGTAAAACCAAGATTTTTGTTCATGTCTATCTAATAATTCACCATATCGGTCTGCTTCAAAAACTTTCAACTGTACTTGTAAGAAATTTTCCCAGCTACAACTTTGCTCAAGACCACATTTTGATTAAATGCAAGGATCGAAAGTTATCAATGGTTCAATGCGCTGATGTCTTATGATCATGCTCAATCAACTGCTCAGCAGGCAACATTGGTGTTTCTGGGGCGTTGAATAGGACACAAAAATCATGGCTACTATGTCACACTGCAAAATAGAGTGTTGCCTACAGAGCAGCTGCTTGATCATGTCATAAGTTTACCAATCTCTTAAATAATTAATAACTTTTTCCTGTCTCGTTTTACATAGACACAATCTTAAGCAAAGTTATAGCTGAGAAAATTTTCTATAAGAATGGCTATCGAACTGTTTCGCAGCTTAATATGGAAAAAGACTAGAAGGCAATGAACAAAAAGTTGAGATTTCCCATAGTAATTTACAAGTAAACTTCAAATGGCTTGTGCGAAGTCTGTTTCTAACCAAATGAGTTGTAACTTTGGGAGGCTAATCAGGACCCGATTTAAAACCATTTAAGCACTGTGGAGCGAAAAAGTCAAATTTTGCATCAGTCTAGTGGGTCATCGTTATATGGAAAAACGCAAACTTTACCGCACCAATCGAGAACAACCCTTTTTTGGTTCCATTTGGAGTCCCAAACAACTGTGCAAAATTAGGGGACGATTGGTTGTAACTCGGCTTTCCGCATTGCGTTTAAAATTTGTATGGAAATTAGTATGGGAAAACCAACTGTTTTGCATTTTTATCCCTAGAGACAACACAATTGTGCATGAACCGTGCAACTAATTATGTACAAATATAGTCCAGGAAGTACCTAACAACGTTTCAAAAGAAAATACGGTCCTAAAATGTATCTAATAAAAAGTTATAGATATTCAAATATTTATGGTTTGAATTTAACATCAAAAATCCCTTTTTCTGCCAACACTGCCAGTGTACCAATGGAAGTCAGATTCCAAACTGAAATAATATTGGAGTTTCTTATCTTACCGATGTGGTATGTTGAGATGAATTATTCAAAAACAATTGCTCTATCTCGTTTGTGTAGTTGGAGAGGGGGGGGGGGGGTAGGTTTATTATATACCCCATCCTCCTCAATCATATCAATAGTTTCAGTTTGAAATAACTTCGGAGTTTCTTATTTTATCGATTTGGTATGTTCAGGATGAATTATTCAAAAACATTTGCTCAAGCTCATAAGAGTTGTTAGACAGCGGGCTGGGGGGGGGGGGAAGGACTTACTGTATGCAGATTTTAAAACGAAAATTGTTGTGGTGTAAATATTTAATATCCACTTGTCGGTTCATTTGTTAGTGAGGAAATGTTTGAATTATTAGCAGCTGGGAAATTTTAATTTTCTATACAAAGCTTTTATTTGAAATATAAAACTGCCATTCGGGCCACCCGCACATAGAAAACACAGAAGTAGTCGTACGTCAAGAACCAAAAACAAGCGAAAACGAAAACTGTCTTCACCAGTTTCGTCTCAGACACAGGTACAGTCGGATTTGGCTTGTAATTTTAACAAGGACTTTCCGCCACTTCCGGGATCATCTAAAACCCCAGATATCCCAGTTTTTCAGCCAGAAAAAAAAACTGAATAATCAGCAAGAACATGATGCCATGTTCACGTTTTCTGGAATTGTGGAGAGCATCTTCAATATATTCAACGTCTCTGACTCAACTAGGAACATTATTAATTTAGTGCTTCCATTTGTGAAAACTCTTTTAAAGCAACTAGCTTCTAGGTGGTCCTTCCTTGCATCGATCATATCTTTTGATGGATAATTTTCCGAATGAGGTTGGAAATATGATCTCTCTTCTTCAGTGGAACTGTAGAAGTCTTATACCGAAACTTGACACATTGAAATTTTTAGTTCACAACTCACTTTGTGATGCATTTGCTCTTTGTGAAACATGGCTCTCTTCAGACACAAATCTTCCTTTCCACGATTTTAACATTATTCGCCTTGATCGAGCAGATTCGTATGGAGGGGTGCTTCTCGGGATCAACAAACTCCATTCCTTTCATAGAATCGATCTGCCTTCCGTGACAGGCATTGAAGTAGTTGCATGTCAGGTAAATGTTCGAGGTAAAAGTATCAGTATTGCCTCAGTATATCTTCCTCCGAGAACTGCGATTTCTCGCCAAGGTTTCTCAGATACCTGCTCAGTTTTATCTGAGCCTCGGTTGATATTAGGAGATTTTAACTCCCACGGTACAGGCTGGGGGGAACTGTACGACGACAACCGCTCAACCTTGATATACGACCTTTGCGATAGCTTCAATATGACAATTCTAAACACTGGGGAAGTAACACGAGTAGCCAAACCTCCAGCAAGAGAAAGTAGATAAGACCTCTCCCTCTGTTCGAGTTCACTATCGTTGGATTGCTCGTGGAAAGTAATCCAAGATCCCTACGGTAGTGACCACTTGCCAATCAAAATTTATATTACCAATGGTTCATCTTCTACTCGCTCGGTTGACATCGCGTACGATCTTACGAAAAACATTGACTGGTAAAAATTTGCGTCCGCGGTTATTGATGCCAGTCAATCGGTTGAAACACTTCCTCCACTGGATGAGTACTCCTTTCTCGCGCGTCTAATCATCGATTGTGCGCTGCAAGCACAGACGAAACGTGTTCCGGGTGTTTCCGTTCGCAAGCGACCTCCCACTCCGTGGTGGGATAAGGATTGCACCGACGCGAACAGCGAGAAGTCCGCCGCGTTTAAACGCTTCCGCAGACACGGTAAGGTCGGGGATTTCGAGCGGTACACCGACCTCGAGAAAACTTTTAAGGGCTTGATTAAAGCCAAAAAACGCGGTTACTGGCGTCGGTTCGTCGATGGTTTGTCGAGAAAGACTCCCATGAGAACACTCTGGAATGTCGGCAGGAGAATGCGAAACGCGTCATCACCGGTCAACGAAGACAAGGAGTACTCAAACAGTTGGATATTCAGCTTCGCGCGGAAAGTTTGCCCGGATTCGGTGTCGGTTCAAACCAACGTTCGTGATCGTCCGTCGGGTAGTAACGAAATAGATTCCCCGTTTTCGATGGTGGAATTCTCACTTGCTCTCCTCTCATGTAACAACTCAGCTCCAGGAATGGATAGAATCAAGTTCAACTTGCTTAAAAATCTCCCAGACGTCGCGAAGAGACGCTTGTTGAACTTATTCAATCAATTTCTGGAGCACAACATTGTTCCGGATGACTGGAGGCAAGTAAGAGTTATCGCCATTCGAAAACCCGGTAAACCCGCGTCGGATTATAACTCGTACCGTCCAATCGCGATGTCCTGTATACAGAAATTGTTGGAGAAAATGATTCTTTTTCGTCTAGACAAATGGGTCGAGTCGAATGGTTTACTTTCAGATACGCAATTTGGATTTCGGAGAGGCAAAGCGACTGTCTTGCGTTGCTTTCAACTGAAATTCAACTGGCCTATGCGCAAAAACAGCAAATGGGTTCAGTTTTCTTGGACATTTGTTTGTATCGATATCCTTTCGGATAAACTCCACGATAGTGGGCTTTCACCAATTATAAACAACTATTTGAGCAACTTGTTGTCTGAGAAATATATGAGCTTTTCTCATGGAAACTCGACAACTTCACGAATTAGTTACATGGGTCTCCCCCAGGGCTCATGTTTAAGCCCCCTTCTTTATAATTTTTACGTTAAAGACATTGATGGTTGTCTTGATGAAAATTGCTCGCTAAGGCAGCTTGCAGATGACGGCGTTGTGTCCGTTATAGGACCAAGTGCACCGGACCTGCAAGGACCATTGCAAGATACCTTAGACAATTTGTCTACTTGGGCTATGAAGCTGGGTATCGAATTCTCTCCGGAGAAAACTGAGTTGGTTGTTTTTTCTAGGAAGCATCATCCTGCACAGTTACAGCTTCAACTAAAGGGTAGAACAATCACTCAAAGTATATCTTTCAAGTATTTAGGTGTCTGGTTCGATTCCAAATGCACATGGGGAAAACATATTGCGTATCTGAAACAAAAATGCCAGCAAAGAATTGATTTTCTTCGTACAATTCCTGGAACTTGGTGGGGAGCACACCTGGAAGATCTGATCAGGTTGTATCGAACAACCATCTTGTCGGTTCTAGAGTACGGTAGCTTCTGCTTTCAATCCGCGGCAAAAACACATATCTTGAAGCTGTAACGGGTTCAATACCGTTGCCTCCGAATTGCGCTTGGCTGTATGCACTCGAATACGATGAGCCTCGAAGTACTCGCGGGTGTTCTCCCACTGACAGATCGTTTCACGGAACTGTCCTTCCGGTTT